CAGCAGGAACCTCACCAGAGCGCTGTCATGATAGGGCTCAAACTTGACTGCCTACAGGACACGGACAGACAGACAGACAGACACACACACACACGTAGATTAGGTCTGTTTAAAAAGCACACTCAGGATTTTCATGTTTTTTATGTTATTATACATTCATGCAGGCACACAGTTTTAAAACACAAAAAACACAGGAGAGACTATTACTGTTGTCATGTAAAACTGATTTAAACCATGTGGTGGGCAATTGGACAAAAGCAGAGTTGAGATAAAGATGTGGCTTCTTTTTTAGAAATTCTCAAAGGGACCCTGTGACGTTTTGACCAAGTTATGGTGATGTAGATAACTGTACGTCCAAATAAAAGAGAAGACCTCAGACTGATGAGCGAAAAACTTAAAATAGATTGTAAAGGTTTTGTGAGGTAGAAAGTGCAACCAAAATGTTTTAAGGCCACAGGAACACAAAATGCATTTTGAAGAGAGACACTGAATGTTTAAAAACAAAAAACAAACACCCAGGGTACATTATATTTAACAGTCTGAGTTCAAAAGTTTCAGTATGATGGAACAAAAATGGATTGTGGTACTAAAGGAAGTGCAGTGACCGGACTGCAATTCAAATGTTAACTGAAGAAAGCAGAGTGGTTCAACAAGTCAAAGGAAACAGACACAGACAGTACCAACAGATGTAAAGTTTAAAAGGAGTACAGTTTGGGCTGGACAACCCAAACAGTTTCCTTAAAAGCATGAAAATGTGATTTCAGAAATAAAACCACTGAACGTAATTTTGCCACCTACTGTAATATAATACAGTGAATGAAATGCTTCTATATTGAAACTTAGGGGTGTAAGTGCTAATTATTTTTACTATAGATTAATCCAAAGTGTACATTTTTTGTCACGAGGCAATGATTTGGATGGATTTTTACTATAGATTAATCTATCACTTATTTTTTACATTAAACTTTCATATTTGCTTAAAATCAATATGGTAAAACCCGAATCTTAACTATCGTCTTTGAATGTGTTGTTTTCTCTGGTTTTGTTCTGTGTCAGCTTGCCTTGAAAAGGAGATTATCACTTCTTTGGACAGAATCTAAATTTGTATTTGAAATATTACATTTCAGAGTATTTCACTATGTATACAGTATATACCTGCCATATAGTGATAACAGAATATTAAACAAAGAGTCATTTCCTACCAGACCAAAGAGGCCATTGTTGCCCTCAGATAACAATTCATATTGCTCATGCAAAGTTGACCACTGAGTCAACTATGGAAACACAGAGGACAAACATGTATT